CTATTTTAGTATAAGCTATGAAATGTTCTAAAAGAATTAATAAATTGTCCAAAATTGGACATTGTTACCAACATGGACGGGGGAATTACTACTAGACTATGTACATATAGGTAATTTACTGAGAAAATAAAGAATTTATTTACAGTAATATAAAAAATAAAATTTTAATTCGTTACAGTATTGACAGTGGATTACAAAGTTTGAAACTCGATGACATTATTCCTGACAGTAATTAAATTTATGGTTTTTTATAGCAGTTCAGGGTTTTTATTTAATAATATTATGTTTTATTAAATCGTGTATGGGATTTTTTTATATATGCAGTAAAAGCATATTTACGAATACAGTATCTAAACTTTGCTATATTGATATTTAATAACATTAGCATGCATGATGTGGTTCAAATTCAAATAATTACTACATTTTTAAGTAACCCATTATCTGTTTATTAGGCGATAAATGGTTCACAAAATCTTAAAGCAAGTGCATTATTTAGTTCAGTTTGAATTGTTTATTTAAATCCTAGAATAATTCTTCATATTTATCTATCTCATAATAAATTGACCCACAACTGCTTAAAATCATTAATATTGAAATTGGCTAATACTGAAATATAGTACATATTTTTACTTTTAAATTTGTACTTTTTTATTCTGAGTTGAGGAAAGAGAGGATGAAGGTTTGAAAATTCGGAATTTTTTGAATTAGGTTTAGATCGAAGCTTTATAGGTGTTCTCATAAATTGAGATAAATCTGCTTTTTTCTCACAAACTCGTAGGTTTTCTTCCTACCAGCTGATATCTTCACGGCTGATATCTTCACGGTCGATGTTTTTACAGCGGGAGCGGGACAAAATCCCGACAGGCAGAATCCCGACAGGTCATAATCCTGACAAAAAAATCCCGACAATCAAAATATATTCATGTGACCGATTATCAATCATAGATTTTTAACTAGCTCTTAAACCCGGGCGATGCCCCGGAACACAGTCTCAATTTTTTTATTTTTAAGTTTTTTTAAATTTAAGTT